CGGGGCGGGGAGGACAAGCCTGGGAGGGGCAGGCCCCCGGCCCGGCCCGGAGTGACGCCCCAGGCCGGGAATCTGGGCCTTTTGTGGTCCGAGGACACCCGGCGGCCCCTTTGGGATCCACCCCCAGTCACCACCACCTTGTTCTTCCCTGACCCTGGATACTCTGGGTGTCCGTTTTCTGGAGCCCTGAGACCCTGTTTGGAGGGGGATCCATCTCAGCCCTGGTTGTGGGGCGAGGGTCTTGCTGAGCCCTCCAGTGGGACCCAGAGGCAGCTGGGCTCTCCATGGTAAACCCCCCCGTCCCCTGAGGCTTCTCAGGACTCAGTGGAGGAGGCGCCTGGGGAGTTCGGCAGCTGGAGGAAAGGGAGTGGCCCCAGCCAGGCGAGGGAGGCCCCCCTTCTGGAGTGGGTGGCTGAGCCCAGCTGGGGTGGGAGGCCCTCGGGGGAACCCCTCTGGTGTAGTCTGGGAGTAACCTCTTCCTTGGTGCGAGACGCTCTACCTGTGGAGATGTGGGTGGGTCGCGATGGGAGAGACGGCCCCACTCTGCCTGCGGAATTGACCCTGAGCCATTTGTCCTCCAAAGCACCTGTCACACGTGGCTCAGAGCTAAGGGACCTGAGGTCACCTGGTCTAACTCCTCCTCCTTGAGGAGGAAGCAGCCCAGAGAGAGGAGGGGCTTGGTCCAAGCTCCACAGAGCAGTCTTTCTGCTATTTCAAGGAGTTCCTTCTTGTGACCCGCTCCTTTCTCCACCCAAAACCAGCACCTCCCAGATTCTGCCCCCTGGTCCTGCGTGCGTCCGCGCCCTGTGTACACACCGGGCCCCAAGTGCTTCCTGTGGTCTCTGTTCTGTGCCCGCAGCCTCGGTGATCCCCGTGCTGCGACACCCGGACCCAGGCCCTCCACACCCGGCTTTCTGCACCCTGCCCACCGCACCCAGACCCTCCAAACCCAGGCCTTCCGCACCCATCAGGCTCATGTCCCATGTCCAGCCCTGAGTCCACAAGCCCCTGCGTTCCCTCTCAGTCCCACAGGCGCAGTGGAGGAGAAGTGGCCTTGCCTGGTCCCCCATGACTCTGACCCTCTTCTGTGGCCCATTCTCTGCAGGCCCTGGGCAGTGACGGGGTTCGGGTGACCATGGAGAGTGCGCTGACTGCCCGTGACCGGGTGGGGGTGCAGGATTTCGTGCTGCTGGAGAACTTCACCAGCGAGGCCGCCTTTATCGAGAACCTGCGGCGGCGGTTTCGGGAGAACCTCATCTATGTGAGGCCCTTGTGGGGAGATGGCAGGGGTGCTGGGGTCACAGACACAGGGCAGAGGGGAAGGAGACACCAGGGGTCACCAAGATAAACTGTTTTTTGTTGTTTGAGACGGAGTTTCACTCTTGTTGCCCAGGCTGGAGTGCAGTGGCGCGATCTTGGCTCACTGCAACTTCCTCCTCCCCGGTTCAAGCAATTCTGCCTCAGCCTCCAGAGTAGCTGGGACTACAGGCATGCGCCACCACGCCCGGCTAATTTTGTATTTTTAGTAGAGATGGGGTTTCTCCATATTGGTCAGGCTGGTCTCGAACTCCCAACCTCAGGTGACCTGCCTGCCTCGGCCTCCCAAAGTGTTGGGATTACAGGCGTGAGCCATTGCACCTGGCCCGGAATCAACTTTTGACCCTCTTCCCCCAACCCCAGACCTACATTGGCCCCGTCCTGGTCTCTGTCAACCCCTACCGAGACCTGCAGATCTACAGCCGGCAGCACATGGAGCGTTACCGTGGCGTCAGCTTCTATGAAGTGCCCCCTCATCTGTGAGTGACCCCAGCCCCTCCGGGGGCGACCCCTCTGTCTCCATCTGAAGTAACCCCACCCAACCCTTACTCTAAAATGATCCTGACCTCCTGCGCCACAGCTGTGAGGAATCCCACAGTTTCTCACCCCCCAGTGACCAGAGATGAGTGTCACAACTCAACTCCATCTGGGTGGGACTCAGTCCATACCCCAACTGGGAGTGGCCCCCCAATCTTAGTGACCTCTGAACCCCACCTGCGAAGACCCCCCCAACCCTACCTATGAGTGACTCCAGCCTCCACCTAAGTGACCTCCAGACTCCCACCTGTGAGATCATCTCAGTCCTCCCGCTGGCAGTGACGCCCATTCTCAGCTGTGACAGATCTCCCATGGTCCACACCTGCGAGGGACCCCCAGTCCCCATCCTCAGTACATCCTCAAGGGTATATTAGACTTCCACTCACGAGAGGACGCCACGCAGACGTGGGAGCGGGACTCCCTGTGGGGCTCCACTTGGCCCCCCTCCCCGAACTCCCTGACGAGCCTCTGCCCCAGGTTTGCCGTGGCCGACACTGTATACCGAGCACTGCGTACAGAGCGTCGGGACCAGGCAGTGATGATCTCTGGGGAGAGTGGGGCAGGCAAGACCGAGGCCACCAAGAGGCTGCTACAGTTCTATGCAGAGACCTGCCCAGCCCCCGAGCGCGGAGGTGCTGTGCGGGACCGGCTGCTGCAGAGCAACCCAGTGCTGGAGGTCAGGGGCCCAGAGAGGAGGCCAGTGCGGGAGGGGAGGGGCAGGGAGAGAAGGCCAGTGCGGGAGGGGAGGGGCCGGGAGAGGAGGCCAGTGCGGGAGGGGAGGGGCCGGGAGAGGAGGCCAGTG